CACCTACCGCAAGCACCCACAGCCCCACAGGAAACAGAGCAATCCCGCCCTGCCAGCTCCCACGTTCAGGGTCAGGAGACCCTGCCCTGGCTCGGCCGCTGATTACTGTGAGGCCCTTGGGAAAGTCACTTCCGCGCTCTGGGCCTCTTCCTCCTTTGCCATCTGGACAGAACACCATGGTCCCGCCTAGCTCCCAGGGCTGCTGTGAGCATGCGTGAAAAGGCGGGGTGCTGAGGGGTCCCGGACTCTTGCTGCCAGTGGCCCAGAAGGGTCCTGCGCTGGGAAGCTCTGGTCCTGCAGGAGCTATTACTATTTTTTTTTTCATGATTCAGATTTTTTTAAGTTTATTTTATTTAATTTATTTATTTTTGGCTGCGTTGGGTCTTTGTTGTGGTGCGTGGGCTTCTCATCGCAGTAGCTTCTCTTGTTGCAGAGCATGGGCTCTAGGCGCGCGGGCTCAGTAGTTGTGGCTCGCGGGCTCACTAGTTGTGGCTCGCGGGCTCTAGAGCACAGGCTCAGCAGTTGTGGCGCATGGGCTTAGTTGCTCCGTGGCACGTGGGATCTTCCGGGACCAGGGCTCGAACCCGTGTCCCCTCCATTGGCAGGCGGATTCTTAACCACTGCGCCACCAGGGAAGGCCGGAGCTATTACTATTAAGTTAAATGCTCAACCACTATCTGGGAAAGGAGGGAGGAAAACACGTTGAGGGAGAGCTGGAGGAAGCTGGTGAGTTAGAATCAGTCCTGACTCTGCCCTCACAGCAGCAGGTCTAGCTCAGACATTTGGGGTCCCTGGTTTGATACATCCCTGGTTTGATACATCCCTAAAGGCGAAATTCCTAGTTGGTATATTTTCGTAGTGGTGACCGTCTACCTTTAGCTACTCCACTGGGTTCCCTCTTTCTTGAGAGGCGCATATATCGGTTTTCTGTCCCCTTCTCCTTCCTTCCGACTCCACCACACCGTGACTTCTTTAGTCAATAACATTACCTTTCTCTGTGTTTACCTTGATGTTGTAAAATAGGCTTTATAACCATGAAGAAAGGGGGTTTCTGTTTGCTTTGTAACAGGTCAGAGACAGCCACTCAGGGGAGCCTTTTGATAAGAAATACCCAAAGATCTTTGTTTACAGAGGGGTCACGTGAGAAGCCCTTCCTCCTAGGTTACCGGGGGCTGGGAGGAAAGGGCCATTGCTCTGAGGCCAGGAGGCTGTTGGCCAAGGGCAGGGACATCGTCCCTCTGCACAGCTGGGCTCGCTCTGCCCCAAGCGGCAGTGGTCAGGGCAAGGCACATGCTTCACGGTACAGCCTCGCCTGACCCCTTCTCCAGGGAGCTTCTCAGGTTGGAAACGAGACCCAGAGGCTTCTGAACCCTTTCAACCACGCTCTGAGCACAAATCAGGAAGGCAGGGATGGGGGTGGCAGGAACACAGACGCAAGAGCTATTTTTATTTTTTTAAGGAGCTATTTTTGAGTGACTGGAAATAAAAGCTAAACACAGGTGTGTTCTGCACCCGTGGACATGTTCCCAAATCCACAAGAATTCTATTTTATAAATAAACTAAAAAAGAAACCATTCGGGTTGCCACATTTCATCCTAGTTTCCAGGGACACACACAAATAGTTTGGGCCTTTGTGCATTATTTCAGGAACCGAGGAGGGCGTATAGGCACCCACTAAAGGTGTATGACTCATTTTCTAGAAAGCTATATGAAGTGACAATCTAGGGCTAAAAATGAGGGCAACGTCTGCCCTGTGACTCCTGCCACAGCTCATAAAAGCAGGGCAAAGGGAAACCACCTTAAATGACTATAAAATGAAACCACCACCAGAATTTGGGGTAAATCAAGAACGTCTAGAGCAAAAGCCATCAAATTTAGAGAAGAGCTATTTCATCTCAACTCATAATACAATAAAGAGGCATATCAAAGTGCATATTAAACAAACTGTGGCGAAACTATTCACTCTGCAATATGAAAAGCACACAGTCATCTAAATGAACTTCTGGGCGATACCTAAACTCAGAGCAAGAGTAAGACTTTTCTATAAAGCAGGGTTTGACAGACTCAGATTCCATCCTTCCCACCCTCAGCAGGCAAAATATTTATGGCATGTTTTCTTTCCAAATTCTTGCTGAAATCTCACCCACTGTGAATTCTCACCCACTGCAAATTCTTACCTAGCTTATTTTTTTTTTTACCACTGTTACCTACTCTATATCACGGCATTCCAGCCCCAGCTATAAACTGGGCCCAGCCACAAGAGCCCTTGCATTCCCATTTCTGAGGTCAGAGAAAGAGCAGAGATGAACTGACAGTTCCTAGGATTACAGGTACCAGTGATGGACCCCTCCCTGCGAGAGGCACTTATACACAGCATCTTAGTACATCCTCATGGCTGCCCTGTGAGGTCGGCTTTAGGGCTTTAGGGTCTGTGGCCAGACCACGTGGCCAGATATCTAGCCCGACCTTACAATGAAGGAGAGAAAGTTACCAAAGCCCTTCGCTGGAACAGAGAGGTTACACGAACAGAGGCTGTTATGGGATGATAAAAGGCAGGAGCTAGGGTGATAGGGATGCAGCAGGTGGAAACTGGAGCTGGGGAAAGCATCCCTCCATTGGTCAGCCCAGGGCTCTCCTGTGGAGCATGCTCTGTGGAAGGTGCTGGAGAAAGGAGGAGGGAGGAGGCCCTGGAGGTGCAGACCAGGGCCTGGCTCTGCCAGGGACAGAACTGGCAGGGAGGCAGGAAGGCAGGATCCTCGGGGGCTGGCGCTGCTGGCCTTGGGGGTGGGGGCAGGGTGAGACCAGGAGGAGCAAGTGCCAAGATGAGCCACCCAGGCGCTCTGGCCCGAGCAGCACAATTAGTGTGCGAGCCAGGACAAGGGACCAAGTGGACAGGGAGGGTGCCAAGTGCTCGTTTTGCAAGTGTAATTGTGATATCTGTAAGCTGCTCCTCAGGTCCAAACTGCTTCTAAACACATTCAACTGTGGAACCGGGGAAATCAGATGCAACCCTCAGGACACTCCTGAAAGCAGCCTTCCACCTCCGCCCCGTTCCTTTCTCCCTACTGTGTAGATAGGACCGGGAGAGAGTCCCTCTCTGACTAAATAAGCTCTTCAAAAAACTTCAATTCCTTTTTTTGGACTGGATGTCAGCCTGGCAAGGAGGAATGAAATCATCAGAATGAACGTGTTCTCGTCGTATATAATCAAATGACAAGGACTGGAATATAAGATGTTAAGGTAGAAATAGATGTGTTCAGACAAGAGACCATCCGTGGTGGGCTTTTCTTTCCCCCACACCTTAGTAAATGTTATTGTACATCCGGTTTCCAACTGAAAAGAGGGTGCCCCCCCCCAAACAAAAACAGGAAAGTGAGCCCCCCCCATTACAAAGAGTGGCAGTTGTTTAATCCTCTGGTCACTATATCATCACGGGGAAAAGTGCTCTACCCCTTCCCCTGTGGTAGTAGAACCAAGTCTCTGTGCCAGTTACCAGAGTATTTTTTATCATGCTTCACAGCCATTTCATGTATATGGTTAAGGGTCTGATTTAAAATAGGAAATGCACCGTGCCTAGGAAAGCATCCCGGAGGAGGCCCGCCCGCAGGACAAGGGGAAGGGTGGCAAAGAAAGAACTGCTTTGCGTCCTCAGCTGAAAAGCACGAGAAGGGCAGCGTTTCCCCTCCTCTGATTTCCTCCGGCCACATTCAACACCTACAGAGATGTACTGAAATAAGTTCATGGGAGAATATTTTACAGGTGAAAAGATAGATGAGTTCTGGGGCCATCAGCAAAGCAGGGAATAGTGTACTAGTCCAGAAAGTCGCCCTAGCATTGTCCAGCACACCACTTTTGATGGAGAGGGTGAGAGTGCCAAGCTTTCCCCCTAAAATAATCTGACCTTTGGCAATCTCCTTAACCTCTGGGGTCATGCATTCCCTGGCATCTATGGCTCAGGCTCGGAAAACACACAACCTCCATAGCCATTTCTTAAAGGTAACTGTCCTTGATTATAAGGTCATAAAGGGAAATCCTACCAATCACTTATGGACACACCCGGGGATGGGCGAGGGGGGATGGGCAACACCATGGTCCCTTGCCTCTCAGTAACGGCCAGAGACAACAGGACCCAGGGCCTGCTTCCCACCTTAAGCCCCTGTTCTCTCTCCCCTTTCCCTGCACCCTCCACCCTGTCAATGCTGTCCAGCCCCGCATGAACACAGGCAGCCACGTGATCCCCCAGTCACGCCTGTGCTAAGGGAATTCCACATTGCTTGCCACTTACCTGGATACGAGACTAAAAGCACCTTATACATCCTAAAGCCTACTCAGCTTTTTGTCCTAGTCAACCATCACAAAAACCCTATACTTCAGAGAAAAGGCCATATATTCCAGGAATTACTTAAATAATGGATCTTTCAACCACCCACTTGGTGAGTACCACTGCATGAAAGCATACACAGCACATGGTCCAGGCCCTGTTAAGCTGCATCACTTCACACAGACGTAGCCTAAAATCACTGCCTGTAGTGATAATAAAATCATCCGAGCTTCTCAGCCCCAGCAAGGCTCTCTCAGGCACGCTACCTGCCTTTGATCTGTACAGTAAACATTCTTTAAGCCTTTTCTGCCTGTGATGTACGACCTTGCCTTTTGGAAGCCCCTCCTTGGATACCTCATGGCACAGAGCTTTGCAGCCAGGGCTGCTGTGGAGGGCGGGCTCTCCGACCAAGCAGGCCGCCTTCCGCCTTCCGGGTTAGCCCTTCTGGGACAGGGCCACGCACATCTGCAGCCGGCTCCAAGGCAAACGGAATCTACTGGACTTTCAAGTGCATTCATTCAGCTGGCTACATTTGGCTTAGCCTGATTGAGAGGAAAGATGTAAGATTCTTCCTTGGGAATGCAGGATCATGAAAATTAACTGCTTCAAGGGTTAAAATATCCAGTCAACACCTCAAAGCGGTTCATAGTTTAGAAGGCAGGAGGGAACCTTTGTTTACCTTATTGATGAGAGTGACTATATCTCCTTCTTTGATTGTCAATTCATCGTCGTTCTGTGCCTCATATGGAAATATTACTTTGCAGTAATCCTTGGCTGTAAGAAGAAAAGAAAACACAACCCTTAAAATGCTTTATCTAATGAGCTGGCCCAGGAGGAGATGTTACATTAACTTCAGAGAAAAGCACGCTTAACAGAAAGAACACAACTACTGCGTAAAGAAAGAAGGGTCACCCTCGGAAAACTACCCAAGATCGCTCATTTTTGGTTCATGCATATTTATTCTCATTTTTCCCTCAAAAATCATGTGACATCATGAAAGCAACTGACTGCTTTGCTTCTCTCAGGCAGAAAAGCAAAAAAGGTTTCCTTGGTCTCAGAAAATAAATGTGTATTTTTGAATACTCTTTATTTTACATACCATTTTTTTTTAAAGATATTCGTCATGTATTTCTTCTTTAGGTCTTTTTTTAAAAAAATTAATTTATTTATTTTTATATTTATTTTTGGCTGTGTTGGGTCTTCGCTTCTGTGTGAGGGCTTTCTCTAGTTGCGGCAAGCGGGGGCCACTCTTCATTGCGGTGCACGGGCCTCTCACTATCGCGGCCTCTCTTGTTGTGGGGCACGGGCTCAAGACGCGCAGGCTCAGTAGTTGTGGCTCACGGGCCCAGCCGGTCCGTGGCATTTACATACCATTTTATATATTCTTCAGGTGAATGCATAAGTAGACATAATCTACAAAGAGCAAAAAGCTTAAGTTTTGCCCTCACTGTCTTTTTCCACACATCACTGAATCAGAAACAGGGTATCTGTATGTTACAAAGCTGACACGGCACTCAAAACAATGAGAAAGACTCCATTACGGTCCATCTTAAGAGACAGATGTCAATGGAGTTGTATGTGAACATGTGTCAACCACAAATGGCCAACAAATACTGACCAAATGCTCTTCGAACTTTTCAAATACGTCCCATGGTCTCTCTGTGGGAACCTGCCTACTCAGGAACCTACGACTGTTCATCAGAAAGGAAATGCACCAGCTTTCACCAAAGAGAGAAAAACACTAAGGCCACTCAAAATCCATTCAAATATGCCCTGAATTATATAGGCTTTTGAAAGGCTACCTGATATTAAAACCTTCTCTATTTACACAAAAGCACCTGTTTAGAAGACACTGAAAACATTTGTAAGGTATTTGGGAAACTAAGACTTAGAAAACAGGTTTAATGACACAGGACAGAAGGTGGAAAGAAAAATTCAAGAGAATTAGTATCTACCGGGACAGGTGTTTATTAGTCTGCATCAAAGTCAACAACCCTAATGGCTTTGAATGGCGTTAAATATTGCCCAACGATTAGGTCATTCCTGCAGACAGATTACAGCCTAGAGCTATATACATAAGTATCATTTACAGCGTTCCTAGTACAATTTTTATCACTAAAATGTGGGGTTCTTTTTATTATGGTTAATGTCACATCAATCAAAGAGAGTGATATATAAAAACAACGCAATAAAAAGTCTGTAATACAGACACACTGTGGTCTAGCGTTGGGATATGACAGAGAATAGGGAGGGAAGGAGGGAGGGAAG